GAGAATCGCTTGAACCTGGGAAACAGAGCTTGCATTGAGCCAAGATCGCGCCACAGCACTCCAGCCTGGGCGACAGAGCGAGACCCCGTCTCAAAAAAAACAAAATGAAAATAAAAATAAGTTATTACATGTATCGATACCTTGGTTTATCTTAAAGAAAGAAGCAATAATCCATCTTACTGTATTCCATCTTCTCAAACATTTATTGTAGTCAACTTATTGGCTGCTTCCAGTATACGATTGACCCTTGAACAACATGAGGATTAGGGGCACTGACCCCCTCCGCCCATACAGTTGAAAATCCATGTATAACCGTTAACTCTCCAAAAACTTAACTACTAATAGCCTACTGTTGACCTGAAGCCTTATGATAAACAGAATTACATATGTTTGTTATATACTATATTCTAGTAAGCCAGAGAAAAATGCTATTAAGGCAAAAAGAGAAAATACATTTACAGCACTATACTGTGTGTACAGATCACTAAGTTTATGTTGTCTATCTGAAATGGCAGACAATTGTAGCTGCAGACCTCAGTCTATGGTGCATATCAAGCAGTTCAGCTTTTTCTTGAATTATCGTGACTATTCTGTGCTTGTTGGCAGCACTTCCAGTGCTACTAGCAGCACTTTGTATGGGTCCCATGATGTTATTCAAGTTTTACAGCATTGCACTAAAGACAATGAAAAATAGGAGAGAACTGCAAGAGATCCATTTTTACTGTGATAGGCAATTTCCTGGAGACGTAAACTGCTTACATGGAGATGATTAGCATGATACGGCCTTTTTTTTTTTTTTTTTTTGTGGAGACAGAGTCTCACTCTGTCACCCAGGCTGGAGTGCAGTGGTGTGAAGCTCACTGCAGCCTCCACCTCTTGGGTTCCAGCGATTCTCCTGCCTCAGCCTACCAAGTAGCTGTGATTACAGGTATGCACCACCACACCCAGCTAAGTTTTGTATTTTTGGTAGAGATGGAGTTTAACCGCGTTGGTCTCAAGCTCCTGACCTCAAGTGATCTGCCTGCCTTGGCTTCCCAAAGTGTTGGAATTACAGGCGTGAGCCACTGCACCTGGCCTAGCTGGCATTTTAAGTGGATACTTAGGGCAGACGTTTGAGCTCATTGCAATACCAACAAGAGATGCCTATGAAATTATTACAGTGTATGGTAGGTACTATAGTTCGTTTTATGCAGTTATTAGTTTGAGACAGGGTCTTGCTCCGTCATCCAGGCTAGGGTGCAGTGGCATGATCACAGCTCACTATAGCCTCTACCTCCTGGGCTCAAGCAATCCTCTCACCTCAGCTTCTTGAGTAGCTGGTACTACAGGCACGTGCCACCATATTCAGCTAATGTTGGTATTTTCTGTAGAGACAGAGTTTCGTCATGTTGCTCAGGCTGGTCTCTAATTCCTGAGCCGAAACAAACTGCCTACCTTGGCCTCCCAAAGTGGTGGGGATTATGGGGGTGAGCTACTGTGCCTGGCCCAGTTATTATTTGATACTGTATCTTTACATTTGCTTACATTTCTCTAGACTGTGAATGACACCAAGTATGGCCTGTAAGTGTGTGTGTACGTTTTGATAAATTTTAACTTTATAAT